ATGAGAAGGTCTTTTTGATCTGCATTCTGTGCTAGCTCTCCTTGCAGTTGCCTGGTTCCCTGTTTGGTGCACTGATTCACAACTTGCTTGCTAACTTCCCCGTGATACTGAGTTCTCTGTAGTTGGCTTTCCGTTGCAGACCACAGTCAAGTTCTTTCACTTGGATTCTGCCAAGCAGAAGGAACAGCAGTGCTTTTCCTGAGGTGAGAATATGTTGAAGCATGTTGGGCTAATGAAAAATGGTTATTGGGGCAGCTGAAACAGGAGGCAGTGCCCTGGGCAAGCATTGATGCAGAACACTGTTAAAACTTTTGATGCTGTCTGCGATGATGGAAAATGACCAAGAGGAGTTGTTAGGTTAGAAGAATGGTTGTGTATGTTTGTGGTGATATTCTTGTAAATATGGAAGAAGGGCAGTTCTCATCTAAGTAAGCAAGTTAGTGGTATTGCAGTGTAAACTGGTCTGAATTCAGACTTTGCCAGCAACTGTGCTTTAATTGCTTTCCAATATTCCAGTCACTCATTTAAACAAGAACGTAAGGTTAGACCCTGGTTTGATCTCTTTTGGAGTCACACATTTTGAGGGTATATGTATACTTCTAGCCAGAAGGAAACATTATGATGATCTAATCTGACCTCTTACATAAACTGGGCCACATGTGTTTTTGTCTTACAGGTGGACTCAATAACTTGTGATGAAACTAAAGAAAGAATACCTCTAGAAGACATGAGGTTTCAATCTTGATTTGAAGTTTTTTAGTGGTGCCAAATACATTGTGTTCTTTAGTTGTGTTTAAGAATGGAAGAACTTTTAAAAAAATAATCTGAATTTCAATATGAAGCTACTAGAGCTTGTGGTCACTTGTAATAAAACATTTTCTCTCTCTCTATGTGCCTGTGGATAGTGTTCTCTAGAACTAAACAGACTGAGCTCAGCAGTGCCTGGCAGTGAGGCAGCCGTACCGCAGCTCCAGTTCTCTGCTTGGAGGAGGGCTGCTCTCCAGCAACTTACCAGTTCGCTGTCAGGAGTTTTTAAAGGCACTGAGGTAGAGGGGGACATATTTACCTCTGTCAGCTTTCACCTTTCACACTGAAGCTCTATTCAGATTAATGAGGAATAAACAATATGAGACATGTTTATCTCTTTATCTTTAGTTGGGACTTGCTGTTGTCCCAGTAAACCTTCTGAAATATTGTAGCAAATCCCAAGTATTCCTGGATCCCCATCACCTTTCTACTCTATCCAAGTGGTGGCTACTAAGTGGTCTTTACCATAAAGGTGAGGTCAGACATTTTGTATTTGCCATTAGGTTAATGCTATATTGGCATTAATTCTGGTTTTCCTACTGCCCTTTTTCTCTCATGCCCACCCATTTTGTTGTTCTTTACTGGGTGGAGCACACTCACTGCTTTATTTGTTCTTTTGTACCTTTTGATACCACTTACCATCTGACAACCTATTGTTTCTGTCTTGTGTATGACAAATATATTGATAGAGTTGATTGGAAATGTAATATAATTTTCTTTGATACCCTGTAGATTCTGTTTTCTTGTGTTTTGTTGTACAGTTATATTTTTCTGGGAAGAGTCTGTTTGCATTTGTTGTTGAGGGTGAAAATGAGACTGAAAATGCGTGTCAGTATAAATTGAGCATAAGTCAACAAGGAGAAAAGAGCTCTGCTGGAGAAAACAGGCTGAAATTAAGATCAAGGTGCAAGGGAGTCTAAGGATATGAACAGCTCCGTCATGCAAATCCACCCGTGTTTTTCTGTCCCTCACTTTTACAGAGCTCTCCCTTTCTTTGTGCACCCTCTGTCTCCCTTTGCTGAACATCATTGCTAATGAGGGGGCTTCAACATTAGAATGCAATGCTTATATTGCCTATGCTGGCTGGTTCTTCAGATACATTATAATGCACATAGACATGTAGTATGTTGGCTAACTTTCAAGTATCTACCTTAGGAATGAAAATCCCTGCTGACATCTTCTGTATGTTATCCCAGTCTTTTCCACAGCATGTCCTGACCTTGTTATAATCCTGCACTTTAGTTTCTGTATTTCCTGTTGTCTCTGTTTTTTTTTTTTTTTTTGAATAGATACTGTTTGTTGGAGAGCTTTCTTCACTGAACCTTACTTAATGAAAGTTACTGGGGTTTTTTGAAGTGTTAGTGTCTGTTACAAATCATCTCTTTGTAAAGAGCAATAACACATTATTTCCCTCAGATCTGCTTTATGAAACGCGTCTTCACAGAACTAGAAAGATGTCGTGCCTACCAGCTCATATTGGTTTTATCTCAGGCTGGTTTTTGTCTTTATGGAGAGAAGATAAAGTAAAATGGAGAATTCTTTCCAGTAACAAAATACCGCCTAAGCCCAGTTGTGTGAAAGTCAGTAAATATCACCTGAGTTGACTGATAGAGAAGCAGCCTATGTCTGTGGGTGGCTTGTCATCAGGCATGCTACCTGTTGGCTTGCAGTCTTGTTGGCATCAGGTTACTTAGCCCACCTTCAGCTGCTGACATAATTGAGAACACTCTTCATAATGGTATTTAAAGCGATATTTTGACCTTTTCCAGAAGAGGAATCTTCTAGTAACGCCTGTCATCAGGATCAGTTCTTGTGTCTGTGTGCGCAGCTTCAGCTTTGCCCACAGCTGGGGGTGGATGAAGGCTGAATTAAGTACTTCTCCTCTTAGCCCTGTGTGGCGGCATGAGCATCAGTCCTCCAGAAGCTGTAACATAACCTAACAGAGGCTCTTTACCTTATCTGGAATCAAGCAAACCTTTCAAAATGGAAATTGATGGATGACACATGGACACGCCAGTTAACATGGTGCTAACCATTCCCTTCCTCTCCTGTGTCTTGGGAAATGGAAGAGTGTGGAAATAGACTGCAGGAAATGGGGGGAAGCCGTGGTCCACAGCCGCTGCTTTTGATGCCTCTCTGCAGTGCCTCAGTGCATTCATTGACCTGGCCAGCTTCTGTATATTTCACTATATGGTTTGAAAGAATCTTACTGTAAAAAAAACCAAACACATGAGAAGCCCCCCATAATCAAAAGGGGGCTGAAAAATGGCATCTGTGCTCTGAGCACATTTTGTCTCCCAAGTTTCTCAAGATTGTTAATGTCAGTGAAACCAAAGGAAAATGAGTAAGTACAGTTACCAGCATGTACCCTTTTCCTTTGTTCGTTTTATCCCTGGTTTCTTTAGGCTTAGATTTGTGGGACAGGATAAAATTTAAACTTTAAGGCAGATAAAGTGTGATGCTGATTTATTTTTAATGGCTAGAGGTCTTTGGAGCATCTTTTGTTTGCCTATATAGGGGCAAGATTCTGGATTGCAGTAGTATAGAAATGTTGGGGTATTTTTCTTTCCACAAAGTTCCCAATTGTTCTAGAGTGCCAGATTTTTACAAATGGGGTTAAATTAAATCTCTGCTTACTACACAGTGGTTGCATTTAGGACAGCTTGTACTTTAAAAAATACACATTTTTATATTCCCAGCTTCACAATTACACTTTGATTTTTTGCAACTGCCTCCACTCAGATTTCTGCGCAAACAACGAATTGGGACTCCAGCTGTGGACTCTGTCAGTTGAGTCCTAGTGTAACTTCAGGTGGGGTTTTTCCCTTTTAAAAACAAAAAAGAAAAACCAACCCCAAGCTCTAAAATTTTATAAGAAACCTTATTCCTACACTTTTCTTAAAATACTCTGGGTTTTTTTGGAGGGAATGTTTCTTTTTTTTTCTTTTCCCTTTTTTAGTTTTTAAGTGACCCAATTAGGGTAAGGAAGAGCTTACTACAGTTTCTTCATTAAATATACGTGTAAGAGTATAATGCTGTTGTAAAGACTTAAACAATTTCTTACCATTTTCTGCAGTACTCTACTGCACTACTGGAAAAGCATTTGCGGTCACATTCACCTTCTATAGTCTACCATTGCTCTGGAGAGTCCAGAGAAGTAGGTAGTCATGTTTTATTGGCAATGTTTCTGATGTTGAGTTCTTAGGTGAGGGTAAGATTTTACGTCTTGTCCTATGGCTGTTTATTCCCCATTAGAGAGTCATTTTTACAAGTTTTCTTTAAAATGCAGGTTTGCTTGCTAAGTAATTTTTTAAAAAAATTAGAAATAGATTGATGTGCTGAATTCACTTATCAGATGATTGTTACTATGTTGGCAAGCAAGATTTTATCAAAGAATCCTGAAGAAGGAAAGGGAAACTATAGCAAGCACAGACTGAGGGAATGAATTCCCTTAATGCCAAAAGCAGCAAATGGAAGGCACAGTATGTCAACAAAGAAAATACTGATGGGCTTTTTTTTTTAATTCAGTGTTTTTTTTGGAGGGGGGGGAAATTACTTTGGGTTTGTGGTGCTAGGTGGAACTGGTTAGTTGTCTGATCTGCAGAAGAATCTAAATAATGTGCTTTCTACATCTATCTAATCAAAAAGGTCTGCACTGTAAGTTTAGTTTAAAATGTTGCAAGTAGGAGGCAGAAGTACCAATAAACCAAATAATTACATTGGAATTCAGTCTTTTAGGAAGTTGCTTTTTTGGACAAGTTTCTAAGTGTGAGTATTTTATTCTCGCCATCTATCAGTTGGGGGCTGCGTATGGTACTGTGAAATCCTTAGATCAAAGATGCTGGAAGTATAAAAATCTATATGGTAAAGATGGTATAATGCGGAATCCCAACAGAGAGGTATGTTGGAAAGATTTGATACTTGAATGTCTTTGTGACTTGTTAATGTGTGCTTGTTTAAGAATTGCGGGGTTGCATAAGGGAAGCAGTTATAACAAAAATGGTGAATAACTTAGTATAAATGTGAAATGAGTAAAATAAGCATGGCCAGCTAAAGCAGTATCTAATTTATCTAAGGTGATCGTTTATTTTCATCACTTGTTCTGTTGTTTGAATGCTTCCTTTTAAATGACACTTTGACATCTTTTGTATAATTACGCATATTGATATAATTGTATTTACTTGTAGGTGGCTCAAACCAAGAGAGCTGATCCAGCTGAGTTGAAAACAATATTTTTGAAGGTATGTATAAAGTAAATATTTTACTCCTTCTGCTTAAATTTTTCATAGCTTTTGCTTCATTACTGCAGCATACAACTCTTGATAGTTTTTCCAACCATTAATCATTCACTGTATTATTACCATGTTAGACTTAAATACCATTATGAGAATTGAACAATGCTCACCAAGAAGTCAGATACATTTCTGAGTAATTATTGTATTGACTCAGAAGAAGTATTACTATCTTAGAAAAAAAATTCATTGTTCAGAGAATGTGGTGGGAGTTTCAATATTGTTCCTACATGTGGTAAGATGTTCATGTAGACACCTTGCTGTTAGACCATTTGGTAAACTTTCTTCTCCCATCCTTTCTTCCTTCTTTCCTTCCTTCAGGGTTATCTCTGCTTCTCTAAATAGTAGAAGTGTTGGGAAGACCACCTCGTGAAGTGGTGGCCGTATTTATTATTTAACTAAAATTCCACCTGTGTTGGCCTGCTGTAGAAGTACGCAAGTAAAGAAATGACTCCTGTACTTGCTTGTATATATGACAGAAGGGTGCTGTAGTGTTTTGCTGGAAATGGGCTTTCTTTGACCCATTTCCTAAATTTAAATTCATAAATTAAGGAATTGAAATATTCCTGACCTTCCTAAGATTTACTGATACAGTGTCTGTATTAGTTTGGTAGTCTGATATGAAAAAAGAGTATAGAAATTGCTGGGCCTGGAGCATGTATATGAGGTAAGTGCTACAGTGCTACAGGGGGCTGTTGCATCTGAGTTATTCCTGTGAAGGTGTTTTGTTCCTTAAGAGAGCTCATACCCTTCCAAGTTCCTCCCTCCACCTTCCCTTTCCAGCTTTGTGCCCCACTCTCCGTGTACTTTTCGCATGTTTTCCATTGTCCCTTGTGAGCTATTATTAAGAATATGTGTAGGTGTCGCTATGTATGTTGCCAGTATTTATAGTTTTATCATATACTGTCAGTATTTATAGCTCTGAAATCAGATTTTCAGTTGAGAAAGCCAGGATTTAACTTACCAAGTCCTGGAACATATATCAGTCAGGAGAGCAGAAAGACTCTTAAAAAAGAAAGGGATAATTTCAGAGGTAGATTCTTGAAGAGCGGGAGCAAGGCAGCAAAAAAGACAGGCAGGGAGTAGACTGCTGACCCAAGAAGATGGTAGCACTGAGGAAGGGAATAAACACAGTAGAGAGAAGCCTGGTCCCTTTTGCAATATGAGGCAGTGCTCAGTTGTGGTGTGGCTCGGTTGGGTGACAATAGTGTGAGAATTGTTTCCTACCTGCCTGTGGGTATTCATCTCATTTACGTTTCTGAAGATTGTATCTTCCTCAGCTCTCAGTATTGGTGGATTGAATAGGTCATAGTTGAGTACACTGAACATAACCTTCAGCTCCTTTTTCTGAATTTTCTGCTTCCCCTTCCACTGAAAATAAGATGTCTTAGTGAAGTGGAGTAATAAACTATGAGCTAAACTTTTTGTTCAGTTTAATACAGAAATTGTCATGCCGCTTACTACTAAGAAGGAAGAAGGATGAGTGAATGTGGTATGTTTTTTTGTGCTCTGCAGATAGGAAATGACCACTGTTAATTAAGCTGCTTCAGGTGACTGTGAGCGGTGAGGCCAGTACAGTTAGTTCTGCAAATTATGGACTCTTCCCTTATAAAATAACTTGGAAGTCATTCTTTCTACTTCAGTTAAGAGTTAAAAAATATGTTTGCCAGGTAGGAATGGTACTCTCTGTGAATCTTACCCAGTTTAAATACAGGTGGTTACAGTCAACTGTTAGAATATTTAGTAGATCAAACCCCAAATAAAATGTTTGCAAATCTTATTTTAAAATGGGGTTGAACTGGTTAATGCTTGACTATCTAAAATGTATGTAAATAAGTTACCAAAAAGCCATTAAGTACTATTGTATAATATCAAATTCTCTGTGGGTATAATTGCCAAAGTGGGGAAAAATACAATTGCGAAGAACCATTTTTTTAATGTGTCTCCTCCAAAACCAATAGAATTGATGTTTTTCTCTTTTTGTTATGATAATGTCCAAGAGTAACTCTACTTTTTCTAAGTCTTCTACCATAACCCCTAAGAGATTAGATTTTAGTCAAAGTGATCAAGCTGACATTTTCCAAGGTCATTTTCTATATGTAGTATAGAGTACGTGATTGGATTTGAAATACACTTGAGTAAATCACAATGACAAGAAACAGGGGGACACTGAAACCTTGTGCTGTTTTCTGTTATTGAGTGCCCTAGCAGGGGGTTAGCCTGGATGAAAAAATTGAAATATAGAAGCATAGGCTGTCTGACTTATTTGATTTGTTTCTCAATAGCAGCTGTGTTAAAAGTTTCAGAGACTGAGATTCTGAAAGATTCTGTCTCCTTGCAAATGATTACATTGAAATCAATTGATCTGCTAGTTCTTATAAAAGTATACAATTCAAAATTCCTTGCAGTGTATCAACTAGAATGCTTGCGTTCCAAGCAGTGCCTGTTGAAAAAAAGAATCCTTAAATGCTAACCAATATATTCGATATTGCTAAGGCAAGTTATGTTTTGTTTGGGCTTCCTTCTCTGAAGCCTTGTTTCTTGAGGATATTGCTGTATCTGAAGACTGTATTTATATAGCACTAGAAGAAAATAATCTACTTACTGTTACACTTTGGCATCCCTCTGAGAGTTATGTACCTACAGCAGGTATAACGGTACTCTGCAGGCACCAGTGTGGCTGTGTGAAATGAAAACTGGCAGTTTCCTTCCCATAGCAGAGCCGTAGCAATGTAAAACAAAACATGTGTCTTTGAAATACACTACAAAATAGCAATAGGTATCTAATTTATTTACTACTTCAATGTGGATAATGCTCTGTGGGGAGCTGCAACAATGGTTTATCATACTACCTTGCCTTGAAAAAAACACCAAATTAGCAGTTGTTTCCCTGTGCTCAGTGCACATCTGTTATCCCAAGACAAACTTATTTCCCTTAAAACTAACACATGGTTCTGCATATGTTGCCTGGGATTTTTCCTCTTAATTATTGTCCTTATCCATTTGGTTTTTTTTTAATTATTATTAAAAAAAATTCTGAGTTTATTTAAAATTTAGCCTTATACAAGAAATGAAGGCTTTATGCTTTGGGGGATGACTGAAGAATCAGAGTAAGGGTGGTATGAAAGGCAGTTTCATTTATTTATGTATTATCTTTCAAATATTTTAATATGCTTTTTCCTTGATGTATAACATGTTACTGGAGGCTTCCCTTGGGAGCAAATACGCTTGGGTCTGTTAATAGCTGTTTTCTGGAGTAGTGTGCCAGTAGCTATGGTATAAAGCAGGAGTAATGTATGCCAGGAGTGTTCGGTGAGGTGTCGGGCCTATTTTCTTGTTTCTGCAGTGTGCTGATCTGTCAAGGGTCTTGTTTTTTGTTACATTTTTCTGCAAAAACGCTGTTCTCTGGCCTTCTTTCAGCAGTTCGACCAAGGAGGAGTATCTGTAGATTCTCCTTTACTTAGGGATCAGCCGTAGCTGAAGGTGATGCAGTGTTCCTCCAAAACAGCACCCCCAGGTGGACAGTCTTGTGGGACCGTTGACTCCACTAGCGCTGCAGTGTCGTTTCACGGGTCTAAACCTGCTTTCTCATCCCGAGGTAGAATGGCTACACAAAGGAATCATTTCAGATAAATAAGACATGGTGGAGTATCCTGTTGCTGTCAGACTTCCAGTGAGCCTGGGATGCCACATACATGTATTCAAGCACATATGCTTCTTGTTCTACTTCAAAAAAACATTTGGTACTGGAGCATTTCTAGACTGCCGTGGAGAAATTGCTGACATGATAAACAAAAAATCATGTATCTGCTACTGTTCTGGCTGGGAAGCCAAGCCTTCAGCTGCTTGGGTACTCCCCACTTACTCTTTCCTGGTTGGGTGTAGCGGCTGTAGGTTCTTCAGAACAGAACTCTCATCTACTGCAACATAAGCCTGCTCCTGATTGGAAACTATGGTAGTGGTAATAAATACCTGGAGAAAGATGTATTTGAGGCACTAAATATTGTGTTCATTTAACAGTATGCAAGCGTGGAGAAGAATGGCGAATTCTTCATGTCTCCTAATGACTTTGTCACACGGTACCTGAAGATAATTGGAGATGGTTTGCCTAATGCAAGCACTGTACAGCTCCTTGCAGGTGTGGTGGATCAGACAAAAGATGGGTAAGTGGTTTTTTGTGGTTTTCTTTTTTTCTCTTTTTCTGTTGTTCATGTGAAAAACACAAACCCATTCTTCTAGAACAGTCTGATCCCTGAAGGGTGGTGGGGTTGGGTTTTTTTTTGTGTTGGTTCTCCCCTCCTCCCCCCCCACATACACAAAGAAATACAGTATCCTTTAAGTGGAAAGAGTAGAAACAAGATTTTGGGCTGCACGTACCACTTAGCTGAGCAAACCATTTTCTGTCTACTGTGTATTTTTAATTCACTGAACCTTTCATGTTTGTTGGCTGCCTCCCCTAACTCCTCCTTTTCTTTCCTTCTTTGAGTCTTTCTGTCTCTGTTTACTTTGTGTATCTGTCACAGACACATTCAAATAGCAATCCAAAATAAGTTTAGATGGTGTAGGAAGAGATCATACAAAAAAGTACCCCTGCTTTGTTCTGCTGTAGCACTGTTAAAGGTTTTTGCCACTGTTTTTTCCCTTAAGAGGGAGGAGGAGCACATAAGGTATTTAGGGAGCCACTTTGCAATCTTGGGAAGACAGCAGCGAAGTGGGTTGCACATGGTTTGCATTTGAAAGGCTGACTTTGCCAATAGGCAAGATTAGCTACCCCCCCATCTTCCTCCCCGCTTCTTCAATGAAATCCTAGCTTTTGCTTTTGGTGCTTGCCCAGGCAAGCTGTCTTTTCACCCGTATGAATGCATTTTTTGAACCCTACCTTTAAAGTATCTTTAGAGAAACTTAAGAATAATTAGCTACGGACTTAAAGTCTGTAGTTGTGGCATTTTTAGAAACCAGAAAACTTCAGGCATGACTCATATCGGTGGTTGCAGGGAGTAAAATGTAAGATAAATAAAGCATGACTAGAGAATGCAGGCTTCCTAAGGAACAGATGCATGCATAACTGAGAACTTTTGCGATAGTTTCTGCGCTCTCTTTTCTAAATGAGAGCACAGCTGCTCAGCTGTCCTCATGTATCTGTGACAGCTGGGCACCTTAAACCTTGCAGGTGAGTTAATGTGATGATTATTACACCTGGTAAAAGATTTATGTAGGAGGTTGTATTGATAACACTGGCATGATGGCAGCAATAAAGTGGTGGCTTCAGAGAGTGTTTGACTGAAAATGTAAAACATTTCTCAGATTTCTTCCCTTAGTTTGATGCCTGCAAAAATGGCATTTTCCGAATTGCACGGCTTCAAATCCATTTTGTAATAAGAGGATTGAGAGTATAATCCATACCTTGTGATTTGGATCTCCTTCACAAGCAGAAGCTGGTGTTAGGAAGAGTGAAATGTAAAACTGTAGCCTATGTGAACTTGTTGACAAGTTGGGATTTCATAACTTGGCGTGATCTTGTAGGAGTTTTGCGGTGTAGTGTTGAGGCTTCTAATTGATGCTTTCTGCCATGGGTAAGGACTGTTTCTGCAGCACAGACTGTGCAGTGAGAGGGGACTGCATGTTCCTAGTGTGTCTTTGGAGAGTCTCTTCTGGTATTCAGGCTGTCATCTTCTGTAGCTGCTTCACTAATAGTTGAAAGAATGGGGAAAGTTCAGGAAGGGATTAGCATCATCTCCCTCCCATTGTAACGTTTTTTGCCATGTGGCCAGGCATGTACTTTGTTTTAGTGGTGTATAAAGTAATTTGCAGAGTGATTGTGTAAAGCAAGGGTCAATCACTTTTTGGTTCCTGGCATGAAATCTAGGGATGGCAATTGTATCTACTGGTCTCTTACTGAATTCTTTCCAACTTGGCAATCCAGAGCTCCTAGTTTTAAAGTCAAGTACAAACCTGCTTTTGTTAGTGTTCGTTTTTAATAGCCTGGTACATGTTTAGATTCTTACACGTGTTTAAGGTCATGAGAGTCTGTTCAATAATTTAGCTTTATTTCTACCATAAAATAGAAGGTAACTTGCAAGAGCAAGTTAATTTTGTTACAGTGTTAGTGGCTTAAAGTAGCGTGGTTCTGAAAGTACTGCTAGGATACTTCTAGAAGCATTTATCCGCTGTCTTGGATCCCTGTTTTGCTCTGAAGAAGCATCTGTTCTTCATGACTGGTGAGCACGACCACTCTTCAGTGAAAGGGTCTGAGCCCAGAATCACTAGGGTTGGTCCTAGCACTTTTAAAAATGCTTTTTAATTCCTTCTGATTTTGGTGAGAAGTTAGATATAGGTACCAAGCGTAGTCGGTGAGAAATACTAAAATGGTTAAATCGCATTGATGAAAGGCAGACAGCACAAGAACTTCTGACTCATCAGCAGAGCAAATAAAGGGGCAAAGAGTTGGTAACCCCAGAGCTGAAGAAATCCTGAGTGTGAAGTGTAAAGAACTATAGTTATGTACAATCTCAGGTTTCCTTTGAGAAAAGGAACTGCTTTTCCTGCTGGTGGCCAGAGAAGCCTGTCAAAATAGTTGATCGGTAATAACATAGATTTTCATGTGGCTGTAGTTTGTATGAAGGAGGCTTAAGATCTTTTACTGGTTCCTGGTCTTAAGTTTCTAATTCCTAATTTTAGTTAAAAAAAAAGCAGCTTTACTTGGCTTCAGATGGATCAGAAACTCCCCCAAAACACAGTGCTTTTCTCAAGGCCTATCAGCAACAGGCCAGCCATTTTCCATCCTGCCTACTGTAACATACTGTTTTTCAGTCTTTTGTTGTAGTTTTAAACATCTGTCTAACAAAATAAGTATTTACTGCACATACCCATTTGGACTGAAGTAACTAACACTTTACTGAGAACTACTTTATGCTTTATGTTTAGAAAGGACAAGCTACTCAAAAATAACACTTGGAAATGCCAGCATTTCCTGTTACTATTGGATATAAATTTATCCTCTAATGCACCGATTTACACTATACTTAGTTTACCTAGGTTGTAGCATAAAGTAATAGATGTAGCTTCAATTTGTGTCCCATTATGTTACCATGTTTAAATTGCTGATAGAGTTAAAACATATGCATTGATTTCTGCAGAAACCTCTTCATCATTGCATTTTTATGTATTGTTACAGCAGGTAATGGCTTTTTTTTCTTTGCATGGCTACATACAGACTTTCTCTGGTGGGAACGCATCATGTCTACCTGGTGCCTAGATACCATGGGTGTGAGCACCGAAAGAAGCAGCATGGAAGAAAGGAGAGAGTAGTAACTAGTGGTTTTGCTGCACCATGCCCAGTTGTTGTGTTTGGATTATAGCTGTTGTTTGTGGATGTTTTTAAAATATCAAGATTCCAGCCTTCCTGAATAAATCGTGCAGTACTGGCACTGATAATGAGGATGTGAAGGTGAAGAAAGACTTTGACCAGTTGGGTAGGATATCTTCAAGATTGAAGTAAAATTTTGTAAACATTTCTGCTTCCCCTTCTTTGTGCTGTTAAAATCACTAGGCTTTTCTCTGCTTTTGTAACATAAATGAGCATTTGTTTAGGTAGATAAAATAACTCCTAAGTAGTATATTGAAGTCCATGTTAATATGTGCTGTTTAATGACACCTAATGATATTCAGTGAAGGGTTGTGCTAAACCCAAAATGGTGATGCTAAACTGGAGAGAAAACGTGTTACCCAGGCAACTACCCTTGTGCAGTATAGAGAAGTGAGCATATGGCTATGTAGTACACATTATTTCAGCATCTTTAAGCATTAAGAATCACACGTGTAATTGACTGTGAAAAATTACTGCTCAGTTACTGTATTGTATGGTCATAATAGAAGTAAATGAATACGTCGTTGTTAGAATAGATCTGTTGGGAATCACTAGCAGGCTAGTCTACTTAGGGAGCAAAAATACAATAAGAAGAAAATAGCTGGTTTAATTAACATGTAAAAATTGGGTTAATTTGAATTCAGCTGGCACAGCAGATATTAATGTCTCTTCTTTAACAGTCTGGCTAGAACCACACAATTTGTACACTTTTAATCTTCCTAGTAGTATGAATAATGGTTTTTAAAAATGGATATGGGGTTATTTTATCTCACTTATTAGCGGGGGTTATTACTTGAAAGTGCTGACAAAGAATGCTTCTACCAGTATAAAATCTTGTAGTAGTGTCAATACAAAGAGTTTTAATCAAATCCAGGCCTAATAACATAGAAGATATTCTTAGCGTGGTGCTGAGATTCTGCTGGGATAGGTGCCTTATCTTTTCTGTGCTTTCATCGCTGTGTTGGAGTCTGTTGGTAAGGGCATATGCTGATTGTTGTTCCACACAAAATGTGGCTTTATCAAAATGGGGTTGGCAGATATTTTACATTTTTAATTCCAAACAAACCTATTCTAGAGTCTTGTTGCCTGCTGTCTGTTTTGTTCTTTCTGTGTGTGGGCTTTATAGTCTTTGGGACAGAACTCAGTGCTTTGTATCTGTTTGCTGTTGTGGAAGTTGTCAGGTATGTAACCAATAATAATGGGTGAGCTTTTATAACCTGTAAGTCACATAGTAACAGTAAATACACATAAATGCAAAACTTGTGATATATTAGCTTAAAATTGAAGGAAGTGTTGTATCTTTTAAGATTTCTTTTGACTTATGAGAGATGGAAATTTTCTTCCATTTAAAGACTGAGTATCTGTATTCTGTCTCTTAGCAGTGGGGAGTACTGAGAGTTGCGAAGGAGTTTAAAATAAACGACTCAATGGCCTGCCCTTGTGCTAACGTGCATATGTAGCAAGTCACTGTTGTCTTTGCCAGTAAAGCTTAAGGCATGCTTATATGTTTACTGGCATCGTGAACTGTGAGTTTAATATTAAGAATACCTAGGGAGGTTTCTTTTTATTTATTTTTCACACTCCATAATAACCTCTGGTGGCAAGTTCCCAGAGCTAATTCTTTGTTAGACTATTTCTGACTCTGCATGTGCTTTTGTGTACTTTTAGTGCATATATATTGAGGGAGGTAAAGTAGAACAGCTTTTTGGCCTTTTCTGTGCTATGCTTCTTTTTTAACGCCCTCTTTTGTTCATCATCTCATGTTTTCATGTTCTTCACGGAAATCAGCCTCTGTTACCCTGTGGCTGTTTGGCTGCTGACTTGCAGCAAGCACACTTCTGTGTGACTTGAAATTAATTCCCTTAAGACAGGGAGTCTGGAAATTGCTGTGTAGTCATGGGTCATCATAACTTGATGGAGTGAGTGCCTTTTCCAACCTATTCAAACACTTTGTTCTTCCGTGTTACTGCACGCTGAATTGAAGAACCAGCTGCAGTGGGTTTTTTTGAGTCAAAGTTCTAAGGATAGGGTTAGTTTCTAATAAAAATGTTTTGTGTGTGTTTCCTCACATTTGTTACACTGAATTTTTTGCTTCTCAGAGATAAAACTTTGTTCCCAAGCTACTGCCATTTGAACCCATTAAAGTTATGCGCTTGCTACACTGACATAAAGCAGCCTCAAGAGAGGGCGATCTTAAACCTCCCAGACTGCCAGCAGGCCCTGCAGCCACACATTTGAAGACGATTTTAAACTCTACAACCTAGGCATTAAAAAAGTAGCAAAACAGAAGCATGGTTGGCTTTTACCTTTTTAAGAATAGGAGTTTGATCTCCATTTGAACTTTTGGGTGTGACTCTGAGAAATTAGAACCGCTCAGGGTCTTTGCTGTATCAAATCTCCTGCTGGAAACAATGCCACTTTGTCTAATTATGTATTTTTGCTTATTAGCTAACTTAAGGAAGGGCACCTCTGCTTTTATCTGTGCTCTGCTACTGTGTTCGTGTATTGGGAACCTGGTTGTAACAATGAATTTGAATAAAGTGCTCTTGGGCTGAGGAAGAACGTGCAGACTACTGCTTGAAATTTTGACTCAACATGCAGGACTAGAGGGCTATGATGGATGACTAATAAGTTTCTAGCAAACAGATAACACATTGCGATCAGTTCCTTCTGAAGTGAGTGGCAGCATGTAGGTCTTGAATGGATTTACTTCCAAAAGCCTTAAGTACCGACTCTTGAGGGAAGTTACTCATGTCTTTATTGGGTGTGGAGGGAGGTAGGCTCCCCCAGAGGGCAGTTCAGTTAGACATGAAAGCTGAGGTGAGTAGCCATGCTGAGCTCTTTGCTTATTTTATGTTTTGTTGTGACTTGCTGAGAGGAATAGTTCCGTGTTCAACAAAGTCATTTCGATCTAGTGATATAAAGGCCTCCTGACAGCATTGATGATAGGGCATTTTAGGATAAATCTTAATCCCTATTGTGCACATTCTAGTTGTGGTCTTACTTCTTTCGTATAATCTATGCTATATTCTATTTCAATTTTCTGCAAGCGTTTTCATAGGTCTTGTTTTTTTCCTTCATCCCTTAGATTGATATCCTTTCAAGAGTTTGTGGCATTTGAATCAGTCCTGTGTGCTCCAGATGCATTGTTCATAGTAGCCTTTCAGCTGTTTGACAAGACTGGCAAAGGAGAAGTTACTTTTGGTAAGACTGTTTTTAATTCTTAATTTAAAAATCACTACTTATGCCAAAATCTATTTCACCTTCTGTTACTGTAGAAAACACAGTGATTAGTAGGGGAACTACACTAGTGCCAAGCAACTTCCTGGCTAAGCTTTTTTAATAATTTACATGTGCACAATATGAAGTCAGGGTCATTGTCATCTTCGTGGTTTTCTTTGGAGAGCTGGTCACTTCTCTTCTCCAGCATGCTTGTGCAGGTCTTCAGAACAGCAGTGAAAGGTGACTATAGGAAGTGATTGTAAAACCGCAAGAAAGTTGCCAGAAGACTTGGGTGAATGTTGAGTCTGAAATTACCATGAATTATTTTCTGTTTAAATTGGCTGTATTTCAAGCTGGCTTCCTTTTAGGGCTTAAAACTTTCTTCTGTGAGATTTTACAGTAACAAATTCTTTATTAGCCGCCTCCCCAACCCCGAAAATTCAGCTGTGCATTGGAAGTGTGGGGTTTGCACTTACAACATGGGAAATACGCCAGTTTAAAAACTTGATTGTGGGCACTGTTTATTTCGAGATACCTTAAAGACAGCTCTTGATACCTGGAGGACTATCTACCACTGTATAATGGTAGGGGCCATTCTGTTTGGAAGAAGGATTCGCAAATTAGCAGTTTTGAGTAACTTTGGACATTGAGCTTGCACTTCAAAAAGCAGGAAGGATTTTTTTATCCCTAAGCACCTACACTGAATAGAATTGACGTTTCTAACCTGATATATTTGGACACAGTTATCCATATGTCTTGTTAATTGGTTGCTAAACAGTTTTAAGTAAAAGGAAAGTTAGGTGACTTTGACTCTTTGTCTCTCTGAAATGTGTGGTTCACATGTACTTTGCTTTTGCTATATTTACTACACATTTTATGCTCATTTAAAGAAGCTTTTACCATTTGAACTGACAAGATCCCTTTACCATTGCTCGAAGCTTCATTGTATTCCATCTGCCATCTCCAAATCTGCATTTGAAGTTGTGGCTGGTGAGAAGACTTGCTGTCTCTTCTCGTGTCTGTTTTGGTTTCTCATTGTTTTGGTTGCGGGTTGAGGTTTATGAAAGATGTGCTTTTTGCATGCAGTATTACTTGTTAGAACAGCTTTTAAAAAATGACTTTGGATGCTAAAAGATCTGAAAGAATTTCAGGAAAAAGTTCGGTTGATCATAACCTTGATGAAGGAAGTATTTTATGCCTAACAGTCACATGTATGGACAGAGAGGCAACGAGAGATGGCATGCTTTTAAATCAGAAGGGCGCACATATTTTGCAGAGGTTTTGTTCCAGTGCAGACAAACCAGGGTTCCTGGAATGCCTGTGATGTGCAGGTTCTTGTCTGCGTCAGAGCCTCCGGTTGCTTGGAGCGCTCGTTAATAATCTAGGAAGAACTGTAGCCGTTTGATCTGAATGCTGAATCAGTCCGACTTAACTTTTTAACTCTTGGCATTCTTGTTCATATTTTTCCTGCCAGCAAATGCTTCCCTTGGGGTTCGACACGGTGATTCAAGGGATTTGTTTGGCATTTGAGGTCCATTGAAGTCCTTCTAGTGATGAGAGAAACTCCTATGCCAGGCTGTATTTAAAGTATTTGAAAGAGGAGATATGCCAACATTGGCAAAACCTCAGATAGCTTTTTTAATTCTTTCCTCTCCCCCTTTAAAAGCATAAATGCATTTGTAACTTCTGTATAGTACCTTGTAACTACCACCCCAGCAAACGCCTGGAGTGGGGAGGATGTGAGAGCTGTCTCACTGTTGTGCATTCTCAGCAGAAGCAGTTGACCTTTAGACAAAGCTAGTTTCCATTTTCTATCATTAGAAAAAATGCTTCCCCCCCCATTATGAACCCTCCCCCTAGTATTTTCACGAATAAATTATTACAATACTATCCTGTAACTTTGCCACTCAGTGCCTCAGTCATGTGTCTTTGAGGTTAATTATGAGATCTTTTTCTATTGACTTGAATGAGAGTGGGTTCAAGTCCTTATCAAGGTTAGGAGACTTAAATAGGGGTTTTGTATACTGTGGAATTACAGTGTGAAAGGAACAGAAGAAAAGGGAAAGGATCATTTTTCACTATACTGCTATTAAGTGTAGTATCTCAAGGATCCCATTATAAGTCTGTATCTCGTATTATTGTTGCAGAGAAACAGCGTGGCTTATCTGTGCAGTCATTGTTTTCCTGTAGACTGAGATAATGGTACAAATATTTTAGCTTGTACCAAATGGAATATAGGGCTTCCCAGCCATGAACTTCACATTTTCTACTCAGCAAGTGATCCAAATCTTATTCTTCCATAGGTACACTTAGCACCTTTGTAAAACAAATTAATAATGGACTTAATGTCAGTGAGCTATTACACTGAATGCCACATCAGGCTGTGGATATTTAGAGAAATTTTCTGGATAAAGAAGTTCCACTATTTAATTCTTTGTACTTACATTTCATTGAACATGCTTCACTTACATTATCTTCTGGGTTGGAAGTGCCTTTGCTTTTTAGCCGTATGTTAACATCTCTGCAATTTGAAATGTTTCATTTCTTTCAAGTTGCAAGTTAACTGTACCTGGCTCTTTGACAGAGCTAGCATCTATTGAAAAGGGCTGATCCGCAAGTGGTGTGGGTATGTGGGGGAGGGTGGGAAGTATTTCCAGTTTATTGCTTTTCAAAGTGAATAAATGGCCACTAGTAAATTAGTGGCCAGTGGCTGATTGAGACTACACCTGGCTGCTGCATCATGTCGTAGATTTACCTGCTGCTGAAGTGTCAAAGCTTTGACAGTTTGCAAGGAGTTAATAAGTTTAGCTGGCTTTTAAATTCGAGGCAAAGAGCAAACCATTGCTTCTTACTGTTGAGTGTTGACAGGCACATAAAAGCTGATAATGTAAGTCCAGGGGTTTAAGAGACTTAGTAGAGTTGCTTTTTTGTCGTATGACTGTATTTTAATGCCTCATTAAAGAAGCAGAACCCTTTGAAATTCTTTACTAGATGGCATTTAAAAAAAGGTGAGATGGTTGGGTAAAAATGTCAGTGTTTAAAAACTAAGTCGTCTTAACCTCCATCTCTAATTTCTGATGGGTAAATGAAATCATGGGAGCTAACAGTTCTGAGCTGTGAATAAGGCAGTGGTGATATCCAGGAACTGGGACTTCCTGTTCTTACACCAATTCTCACAGCCTCAGTGAACGGCAAAGTAAGAGTTGTCCGTGTTGGTTTTGCTCACAGAGAAAGGAAAGGCATAAAGAGAGATGTGATTGCCTGAGTCTGTGCTACCAACTGGAGTGGAAGTGGAACCTGGCATTAAAGATTTTCATTCTGGTTTGTTTTAAAGTAGAATTTCCAACCAGACAGAAATTCTTGCTCTTGTATTTGCAAAATGTAACTGTGGTATACTGTGTGTTCTTCTGGTTTTGGTTTTGTTGGGTTTTTTTAAAGGTCCTCTAATTCAACCTGAAGCCTTTTCAAAATGGATGCTGTGCTGCTTTGAGAAATATGAGTATGCTGTAAAGCAAGTTGGTCCTTTAATTTAAAAAAAAAAAAAAAAAAGAAAAAGCAAAACAAAACCCCCCAAACCAAGCAAAAACTGAAGGGAATGGGGAACCCCAAACCAAAATTGTTGCTTGTTTAGAGTAACATCTGCACAATCCAGCAATGTATTCTGCTTTTGTCTCAAAACAACTTTGTTTACATGTAGACAGCAGCTATTGTGGGTCTCTGCCTCTGTTATTAATTGTATCGGTACAGTTCTTAGATAAACACATTGATAAAGGATACATCTTACTAAGCACTCCTCTTTGCTTATCTGATACCTGAATTGCCTGAATACTTATTTGTAAACTTTCTAAAAGCTCATAGTACTTAACAGAGGTTTAAAAAGCTATACAGCTATTCCTCTATGACAATGCTCTGATACTTATTCAGTATGCAAACAGTTATTACAGGAGTCTTACGATTGCTTTCCTGACCAAAGGATTAGGTTCAGACTATGTGAGCTAGTTCTTGCTTTTGTTTGAGAGGATTATTTATTTTATGCTTTGCCCTGTAATTGCTTGGTATGATTTGGCTCTTCTTATAGGATCGGTAATTCCTTTTTTTTAAACTTGCACAACACCTACTATTAGTAATGCCCAGCCTGGTACATTCAATACCATGCAGAACAAGGAAAAGCTAGATCTGAACTACCAAAATAAATTGCTGAGGCTGTAAACTTTGATCACTTGATAAATTGCAATATTCAGCACTTTTTTAGTGAAATTTCTGTTGCTGGTTGAAATTGGTTAGAAACCATTTGTAGCTAGTGATCTGTTAGCTTACAGCTATACAGGGAAACATTCGTTGGTTTATAAATGAGAGTTGACTAGATATGATGATCCCAACAGCAACATTACAAATGCAAATTTTGTTTAGTCTCTGATATTTGTTGTTGTTTGTACTGGATTTCACACAAATAATGGCCAGTTTTAATTAAAAGAGGATTAAAGGTAGACTTTTTACTGTATTTATTCTCTTCTTTACTATTTTGGATAATTCCATTTCTAGGCTCATGTGAATTGGGCAAGTTTGTTTTGTTTTGTTTTTTTTTTTTGTTTTTGTTTTTTTTTGTTTTTTTGGTTTTTTGTTTGTTTTTGGTTTTGGTTTGTTTTTTTTTTACTAAAATGTTATGTAACCAAGGAGACTCTCATGAAGGCACCCTAAGTAAAACAAAGCCAGTTTAGTCACAAAGTCATCTGCCATTTTAAATAATAGGAGAAGCTCCATCCTTTTACACAGTCGTGTTTCAGTTGGTCTAGAAAATACAGCTTTTTTTCAATCTTGGTTTGTTCTTTGTTGTTGGGTTTGGTTTGCCTTCTTTTTTTAAAAAAATCAGAGTTGCCTAATGACAGACGTCAGGCTGAAGGCCGAGCAAGTCTCTTGATTATTACCAAAACCCAAGGAATGATTATAGAATCATCAGACAGTTCAGGCTGGAAGGGACTGTG